CGCCCACATAGCAGGACTGGAAGAGTGTTTTTACAAAAACCCCAGATCCTTATTACAGTCATAAAAAATATGATAAATATGTCTGACTGCATTCACGGCACCAAGTGGAGATGTTCTGAGATGAGTTCCAGGTTCCACGTAATAAGTCACTTAACAAAGGCGGTGAATTTATTGCTGCTGAAAGGTTAACCGAACAATCGCAGCTTTTAGCCTGCAAAGTGGCCTCACAGCGATGTCTGTGACCGCAGGAAAGGTCGGCTCAGATTGTTCTATTGTAACCGCCCGAAGTTTTCTGAATAGAGGCAGAGCTCCTTCGCTAATTGCTGCATTACGCCTCACTCCTTCTGTTACGTAACACTTTTGTGTTTGTTTGTTTGACTCAAAGCGACTATAATAGTTCACTTACTCTGTTCAAATACTTGAAAAGAGCTGCTTTTATTTAGGCGCCTCTCTACGTTGCCCTGGAGACAAGTGAGCGTTGAACATGATGGCTGCAGAGATTTTGCCTCGTACCTCCCTCCCTGCTTTGCACTGTGGTTTGTTGTTATGCAGCCTGGTAAAGTGACCCTGTGACTGTGCGCTCGGTGTGGGAGGATGCGTTTGCTAAGCTGCGTCTCATTATAAACACCTATCTGTGGTTTTACTCCAGAAAGCATTCATTCATTTAGGTGTGACTAAACTGATGTTTCTGCCTTTTCTGTAGGGAACCAGAGAGTGTCGGTGAGCAGTCTGCTGGTTTGTCATGGTCTGCTGCTGGTAGGGACCAACCTGGGAGTGACTGTAGCGCTCTCTGTCCCCAGGCTGCAGGGCATCCCTAAAGTAACAGGTAACACTCTAACATCACTACGTGGTGGGTGTATGTGGGCAGCTGTTTGGACCTGTAGTGCACCGACTACAAAAGTTACATTGTGCAACTTTTGTCCTCATTTCTGCTGTGAGACATTAAAGGTGCAGTAATAGACCAACACTATAGTCCCAAAATGATTCACTCAACCATTCAAGTTACTGAATTCAGGTGTTCCAGTCAATTCAATGGCACAGGTGTATAATCCAGTCATGAACTTTCCTCACCACTAAATGTTCCAGAGTCAGCTGTTAGTGGGATTATAGCAGACCTCCAAAGTTCATGTGGCCTTCATATTAGCTCAGGAACAGTGTTTCCATGGTGACCAAGACTTACATCACCAAGCGCAATGAAAGCATCGGATGCAGTGGAGTAAAGCAGAGGAGACGTTTTCTCAAAGTGACGAATCACGCTTCTCCATCTGACAATCCAATGGACGAGTCTGTGTTTGAGGGTTGCCAGGGCAACGGTACTCATCTGACTGCACTGTGCCAAGTGTAAAGTTTGGTGGGGGGGGGG